AGATCTCTGGTCGACTGTACCTTACCAAAATTGGCTCTGTCCCAAATAGTATGACGATTATCATTCCCTCTGTCCACCCCGGTCATACTGCGCAAACCAGCTATACAGCTGTTCTACAAGTCGACCTCTTGGCCCTCACCATGTGCAGTCACTTGCTTTTGCTCCACATCATGACCACGATGCCTTTCTGCAGTCAAACTTACTCTTCTCAGGAGGACTACTTGCGACTTTGCATCGAATGCCATACTGCCATTTCTCGCGACACTGGCTTTGAGGCTCATCTCACTTGGACACAAGCTTCAACATACCGACTTGGGCAGTAATTTGCTAAAACACGTGATGGTGGAGTGGAAAAGGGGGCGATGGCGTTCTACGGTGGCCCAAACATGACTGCCAAGGGTTCAAGATACAGCCAGGAGAGAATCGAGCAGGTGCAAACGATTTGACCTGCAAACAATCCGCAATCTAATTCAAGATTTTGAACAACGCAACCTTGATCTGAACTTTCTGGTCATCCCCTGTCCCAAGGATGCTTTGCCGGCTGGTAGCGACAGCTGGGTCAAGTTTTTTCTAAAACTCAAAGAGGGGGCCGATGTTCAAAGATGTGTTCGTCATCGAAAACTTTAGTGGCGAGCAGTTCCCAGGGCCATCGACGGACTGACACGCGGTCAGGTGAAAGCGTTGAAATCGGTCAGAGTGCCGGGTGCTAAACCGGGATGCACGGACTGGGTCTCAGACTGTGCTCAGGTCGAGTTGAGGTATGAAAAGTTGGCCGAGCGCCTTCGCAATGCACGCAGGGGGAGAGACTTTTCCTCGAAATGCCAGAGCGCCAGACGAAGCAAGCGGACTGAGCTCGGCAGACGTAGAAAGGGTGCTGAGCTTTTGCTTTTGACCCACTCAAATGACTTGCCTTCTTCTTCTCCTTCTTCTTTCTCACTTCCATAGTCTACTCTTAATCAGGACCTGGTTTTTCATGTTGATATTATTATGTTGACTTTATCTTAATTCTTTGCTGATCGTGAAAATGCCATCCAAAATGTCCAAAATACATACCATGAGTTAATATTTACCTCCAGAGTCCAGAATGGGAATGCGGGATTGGTCGCTCGAGATTGATGGGCAATACAGAGGCTCTACGTGGGGTTTGCACAAACATCCTTGCACTTTCCTCTTCTTTCCTCTTTCTTTCCTCTTTCTTTCATGTGTATATTATGTCACGTTTTTTTATACTATGTCACGTTTTTTTCACGTGATGAGTTTGTGTGAAAGATGCAGTTAATGGATGTACATAGATGGGTATGAAAATAAAAAAATGATGGTCCGATGTCGTCTAACGGTTAAGATTCCGCCCTTTCACGGCGGCGACCGGGGTTCGATTCCCCGCATCGGAGTAAAAATTTGTTTTTGCCTTTTTTTTTTGGTTCACGATGTCTTTTCTTTTCGTCGGCGGGCGATGTTGGGAGAGTTCTACCTCGCGGTCTTCAGTTCCATCGTTTCCAATCTTCGGAAAAGCGTCGCCTCACTCAAAGGGAGTATGAGAATGTGGTAAAGAGAGCAGCAAAGGCAAAAGCTGTCAGTGTTTTGGTCCGCTTTGTAGATATTTGCAACGTTCAGTGTCTTGCAATTTGCGAAGCTGGTTGAAAGGTGTCCTTCTCAGGTTTACGAAGGAGCACGTTTGATGGCAGAAAGAACGAACTCCGCCCCATAGTAATAGGTAGCCTTACTTTTCCCAACTCTATTTTCTACTGTACTTCTACAATATTCAAAGTCTAAACAAAGATTACTTGACAGCTAAAAATTCAAAACAAGTTAAAATAAATTACTGTCTCTGACTGCCGAAGCCAGAAGAGTTGGCAGCTAGCTTCATCTCCAAGCCTGTGTAAATATGATTCGGACAATATTAGTTGGTTTGCAGAAACGGGAAACAGATCAATGTTTTGAAAAGGAATCTCACCATCTAAAACAACCGAAGTAATTTTAATTGGTAATTTTGAAATCGACGCAGCACTCATCATCGGTATCAAAGGCGCCGCCTGTATTGACATCGGCATCTTCAACGACCCAGTCATCCCGGATTGGTCCTCCCTCATCATACTCTGCTCCATATAATACACCTCGGCTCGTTGCCTCTCTTCATCAGTCACGTCTTTTTCGTCGATGCACATGATTTGCGGGAAGCGCATAATGACTGAGAGCCTGTAGAGCTGTTTGCGGGTGACGGAGTTGGAGATGAGGTTCAACTCGACCAGGTTCGGCAACTTCATTTTCTGATAATATTTATGAGGAGGCGTTCGAGTTAAGTTTCTCTTCATGTCTGGAAGTCCAGCGTGCAAACTCACCTCTATTTCAGAAGTTTCGGCTATCCGGTTGCCGTTCAGGAAAAGGTACTGCAAATTTGGCAAACAGTCAAAGTGTGAAAGCGACTTCAACCGGTTGTCTCTGATAGAAAGTGAGTTAAGACCTTTAGATTGTGTCGCATGAATGGCACTTACTTAATATGCAGCTCCTTCAAATTAATTAAAGACAGAAAAGACGATGGATCAGCTGCCTTGATTTGATTCTTATCAAGAACAAGCTCCACCAAACCCGTCATGTGTTCGAGTCCTTCAATCTATTTTCAGAGATAGTTTAACCTTACAATGTCTGAATAAAAAGTCAATGGAGAAGTACCTTCGTTATCCTGTTCCCTTGAAGATACAAAAGCCTCAACTGGGGCAACCGCGCCAAATTCAAATCAGAAATCTTTGCGATATTGTTATACCCCAAATGCAGCTCCTCCAAACACCCCAAAATCGACTTGCTCCTTCCCATACTGACCTCACCAAAATCAGCCTTGTACCCGCTCCCCATCGTTGCCTGCAACGCATCTGTGCTCAAAAGCTTTTCAACCCTGTTGTTGTTCAAGCTCAAAAACCGAAGCCAGGGGAGGTTCAAGAAAGGGTCCAAGTTGGATATCAGATTGTTATCGAAATTAAGCTTCCGAATGTTCCGAAAGTCACCTCCAGCAAAACAATCGATTTCTCTTATCTTGCAATTCCTCAAGTCAAGCTCGCTGATGTTTCGGAACTGGAAGTGACCAATTTTCTCGCCGAGGAGTTCGATGGTGAGTTTTCCCATATAGATCTCTTTAGCGGCTTGTTGTTCCTTGAGCACGATTCCGGAGCCGTCTAGGATTTTAAGGCGAGAGAGATGAAAGATAGTGAAAAGGCGGTAGTTTGTGGTTTGGCAGACGGTGTTGCCTGTCAAGTCGAGGATGATGAGTCGGGGAAGCTCTTTGAGTGGGAAAATGCTGTATAGGTCGTTGATGTAGTTGTTTCCAATGTAGAGCTCCATGACGGACGTCAACTTTGCAAACGGCTTCAGGTTTTTGATGAGGTTGTTTTCTAAACTGAGGAGCATAAGGCTCTTGAAGTTCCCGGCCATGTCCACGGTGGCCACCTTATTGTTGCTCACGTCGAGTTTAGTTAGGGATGTCAGCTGGGTGAGGCAGTCGATGGATTCTATCTCGTTATTTTCCAGCGAGAGCTCTTCAAGGCGCGAGTACGATGCCAGTCGGGTTACGTCGCGGAGATTATTGTTCCTGAACGATGCCCATCTTAAATGTATCAGGCTGAACGAAAGACAACGTTAGACTTCCTGTACAGCCTTTAAAAAAATCAACGAAGGCACTTACCCTAGCGGCAGCTGATCCAAGTCAAACAGGTTACAGTTGTCCAGCTCCAAAACAGTAATCTTCTCGAAACTGAAATTAGATCCTTGCCCGCCTTGTTCAGGTGACTTGATAATCCTCCAGTATTCGTTTTGAGCGGCTGAAGACCCATAGCCAAACTGCGTTCGTACAGATAAGGGGCGGAACAGGTGTGGTTGGTTGGAGGATTTCTCGGTCCAGATGTCGGTCCACGTTGATTTCGAAGACGAGCTACCCAATGAGAGTGAATTACTGTAGTTTGAGCGAGATAGAACAGAATGATAGTGCCTTTCCTTCTCATCGACTGCAACTCCATCAAGAACTTTCAGTGTACTGTGGCCACTCGCTCCACAAATATACGTCCGATATCCTTTCCTTCGAGACACGGGATTGAATCTCAAATCCAAGGTCTGCAACGTTTTGACATTTTCTTGAAGGTACCTCAAAGTGTCAAAGGTCCCAATCTGGTTGCCTTGAAGATCCAAATTTTTCAAGTGCGTCAGACTGTTGATACCGCTAATGATGACAGCGATGTTGTTGAACGAGATATCTAGCGTCTCCAGTTTGGGGAAATAGCGGAGCATTGGAAACTCTATCAGGTTGCAGTAGCTGAGAGTGAGGCTTTTTAGGGAGGTGAACTGCAGGAAGGGGTCGAGTGATAGGTTTTCGGTGATGAGAGACAGGTTTAAAGATTCGACGCTGTTGACGGGCCTTCGGGACAGAATTTCCTACATTTATATTGCCATTTGGTAAATAAAGCCAACGGGGGGTTGAGCAGTCAAATCAAAGGAAAACAAACCAGAGTCAGCTGAGGAGGAGGAACCTCGCCCAAGTTGTTAACAGCCTTTATCTCTGAGTAGTGGGATTCAATCATAGCGAGAGGCATGTTGTTTGGGAAGATATTCGAAGACTCCTAATAACGAAAAATATCAGTTTGCTGTCAAATAACCCAAGGTCTGGAATATTTCAAACGCAAACCTCTTTCTCAGCCATCTTCTTAGTAACTTCCACAACAATCGTCGGCATATCAGCTTGGCTTAATTTATTACTGTACGCAATGTCGACCATCAGCTTCTCCACTTTCGTTGTCAAACGGTCAAAGTCAGACTCCAGAGAGTATTCAACGAAATATTCGGGCATCACGAGCTCAGGATCAAAGACAAAGTATTCCCTACAAGAATCGCCGTTCGGGGGTTTCGAGTTGATTTCTCTAAAGACTGCGTTGGCAGAAGGGTAGTCGCTTGCCAAGATGCCGCTATGTAGACGAGCTAAGGTTATAGAGGCAGGTGTGAGAAAGCCTTTCAAAATGAACATGCAACGGGTTTAAAATTACTCTTCACTTCATCCAAGGTCGCCACTTTATTGGCAAAGGCACGCACAATGATTGCCTGTCGAAGCTTTTTTCTATCCCTTCCAGCTGCGGTATTTCCATTGCTCTCGGTTGAGTCAGCTACCTCCAAGAAATTTGTGAACGAGAGGGGCCTCACGCTCGTGCTGTCGTTAGTAAATCCGTGCTCTACTGCTCTGAAGATTTCGTCGGATCGGCCTTCTGAGACTTGAAAGCAGAGGTATTCGAATGATTGAGTGTTGTCTGGGGACTTTATGGTTCTCAGTTTTTGCTGTCAAGTAACATAATGTGAGCATTTGTTAACATCATCTGACAGATAAAGAACCTACCTCAAACTTGTTCTTCAAATAACGGTTATGGACTCTCGAAATCCTATGAATTTGGACCCTCTTGTGCTGGTGGCTTGCGGTGGCACGAAGGATCATACTTTTGACTAGAGATTCGCAGGTGTCGAACCACGAATCGTCTCGTTGGTCATCCTCGAACCTGACGTTACCTCCAGTTTCAAGCTCCAGGAGAAGTTTCCTTTTGATTAATTGGTCAGAATGTTTTGTATTTACTTATATGAATTATGAGGCTACTCACCTGATGGCCATATCGCTCTGTTGGGTGATTTGGTTGCTAACTTCTCGTTTTAGCTTTTGTAACGATGTCAAGGTCCTCATCTTTCCATCGATGATAGAGTTTAGTTTTACTCTCGCTTCTTCCAGCTGCTCCGAAGCTCCTGAGAATTGCTATTTATTGCGTTAGATACAACAGGTGCTAACAAAGGTTAATTATTCACTCATACCTCTATTTTATCCTTCGAGTGCGGCGGTGGAAACCCCAGATCATCTCTATACTTGTGAATTCGCTTCAGCTTCTTCAATAGCTCGTTTATATCGCTCTCAAACCCTCCCTCAATTTCTGCATTCCTCGTCTGCAGCAACTTTATCAAAAAGTTGGTGTTCCTCTTGATGGTCCTAATCCTCATATTGTAGTACATTCGCTTCTTCAACACGGTAGCGCTGATAATTTTGCGAGACTCTTCTGTTACTTCGAGGGTGTCAAGGCATTTTAGGTTCGGCAAGTGGTAAATGACGTGCGTTTGGTAATTGCAGAGGGCGCAAAGGGGATTGTCTGCAAAGTTTGGGTCGGAGAGGCAGAGAGAAGTGAGTTTGGGCAACCGCGCTAGGAAGAGTACATCGCGGAAAGAAGATAGGCGGTTTCCAGCAATGTTGAGCTCCTAGAAAGTTTCATAGGAGATAAGGTGCATTAGTGAGGATAATCGTCAACGAGAGAGCGGGTTAAGACGTACTGCCAAGTTCACGTTTTCTGTGAGGGTGTCGCCAACTGATGCAATTCTGTTATTGCCC